AACACATTAACCAAGACTCAGAGAAGACCCCAAGCACAGAGGCAGAAAGTTCCAGCCCACGTGCTGTGGGAGCCCACTGAGTTACCGCCCTTTCCTGGGAGAGTGACACACGCTGTTAGTTCCATACTCTGTGACTCTCGTTTTGGAAACTGGGAAAGTACAGCATGAATAAATGTCATCCTACTGACTTCACAGGGTTGGTCAGAGGACAAAAAAAGATTCTGGGTGTGAAAAGCTTTCAAAACATACAAATCTCAGTGTAAGGTAAAATATACTCAAATCTTTTCTGATAAGGGATAAACAAATAAATGCAAATGTAAAAGTGATTCTTTCTGTTGTTGTTCGGTGCCATTAAGTCAATTCAGAGTCACAGCAATCCCATATGACAGCGTAGAACTGCTCCCATATGACAGAGTAGACCTCTTCTACTTTTTATGGAAGCAGATTGCCAGGTCTTTCTCCTATGAAGATGCTGGATGGATTCAAATCATCAAGGTTTTGGTCAGCAGCCAGGTTCTTAACCATTGTGCCACAAGGGCTCCTTGACTCATGTCTAATATTACTATTATAACTACTGCTATTACTGCATACTTCTTTCTGGGAAGACAAGGGTCAATATGCCCTGGGGTTTTTGTTGGATTTTTATTTGTTTGTTTTTTCCCCAGAGAACCACCAAAACACCTCCAATTCAAATAACATCATCATTTTAATTGACTCACCTGATGAAGATAAGCCATCGCTTGAATGCACAGAAAAGTGTGGTGGGGACAGAAAGAGGAAGGAGAGGAAGAGCAAAGCATTCTAGAGTTTAGAGTTACCGGTATTCACATCTCATTATTTGGAGGGGGAAGAACACTGTTAATATTATATATTTTTTAAACAATAACAACTTGGAGCAAAATGCCTGGAACACTCAAGAGGGACATTTATCTGCCAGATTTTTGAAAAAGAAACTTAAAAAAAAGAGCAGAAGAAATTTTTTAAAATTATGTGACTTGGCTAAAATGGAATATCAGTAGTTTATTACTAACCTTATCCCAAAGAATTGTGCTGGTGCAGTGGTCAAGGCATTCAGCTGCTAACCAAAACATCGATGGTTCGAACCTACCAGCTATTCTGTGGGAAAAAAGACGAGGCAGTCTGCTTCTATGAAGATTTACAGCCTTCAAAACACTATGGGTGGATGTACTCTTCCTGTGAGGTCACTATGAGCCAGACTCACTCAATGGCAATGACTTTGGTTTTGATTTAACCCTTTCCCTACAGATGCAGAGAAGAAAATTAAAAATAAGTCCTAATGGAGTCTTGCTCCATTTTGCTAGTCCCAAACTCACTCTTCCTCTCCCATCCTTGGATACTGGGCTGAGTATGAGCTGGTCTACCTTTTATTGTACACTCAGGCCGACATAAACAAAGAAAACCAAACTCACTGCCATTGAGTCGACTCCAACTCATAGCAACCCTTCCTTGGGTTTCCAAGGCAGTATCTCTATGGAAGTAAATTGCCCAGTCTTTCTTCCAAGCAGGCCTACAGAAGAATTTTTATTATTTCCCTCTACCTTAGCATTGCCAAACTTAGCAAATATTTGGGACATATTTATACTAAAAAAAAATGTCATTTAATTTAAGGTTAATAGGGTGTCCTGTATTTTATCTGACAATCTTACTTCACTTCTATGCACCTATGGCCCAATGGGAAGCTCTGGTAGCGTAGCACCTAAAGCACTTGACTGCTAACCAGAAGGCTGGCAGTTCAAACCCACCAGCCACTCCTCGGAAGGAAGATGGGGCAATCTACTTCTATAGTGATATTGCCTGAGAAACCCAAGGAGGGATCACTATGAGTTGTGTCCGACTCAATGGCACATAACAACAACAACACCAGCATGACCCAATGATCATCCTCTCCCAAAATTGCTATCATAAGAACCCATTCTGATGCAGCAAATCCAGGGTGAGTCCTGGGAACCTTTATTTTTACAAGCACCCCTGATGAATCTTATCAGCAGAGTCTGGGAGGTTCTAGATTCCAACATGGTGCCTCTGAGGCCAACGCCACAAGTTGAATTTCTGTGTGAAACAGGCCTCTTTCTTAGATCCACAACCCAGACACAGCACAACACCACATCACCCCAACCCATGTCAGGATTCAACTCTCCAAGAACACACCCTAGCAGATGAGCCCAGAACTCCATTTTCATCCATGTTGGCCATGTTTTCCTATTACCCTGCCAAGCAATCACTATACACACCCAGGGCTGCAGTCCTCTGGTGACCAAGGGAAAGCTAAGCCCAACCAGTTGTTTTCCAAGGCACTGCCAGCCCTGCCTGAAACAGTCAAGCAAGGCAGGGGAGGCAGAAGCACAGGGGTGGTCTCCAGGGTCGATTATTCAACAAATCCCATACAAAATGGCCCAGATGTTCACCTTTTGTTTTTTTAAGTCAACAGTTGAGTCACTTTCAGCAGCTAAACTCAGCCTGTGCTGGAGAAGCCCTGCTCCCCTCAGGATTCCCAGTCTCATTCCTCCCTGGTTAACATATTTTGCCCCATATCCACCTCTTCTGTCCTCCCTCCTCTCTCTTCCTCTTTCTTGCTTAGTGACAGTTGCCATTCACTAAACCCTTGACCTTTCCTACATACATGTTTATATTCCATTCTCCCAGAGAATAGCTCATTGGATTTTCTACCTCCTCCCAGTGTTATCTGATCTTAGCTACACCCACTTCCTCTCTGACCCCAATCCCATTCCTAGGCTCATTCTACACCTCATGCTTTGATCTTACCACGCACCTTCCTGTCTGCTCTCACCCAGCCTGCCTCAAGGGACAAAATTCACCATGATCACGCACAAATATTCTACACTTGTTGTTGTTGTTGTTATGTGCCGTCGAGTCAAACCTGACTCATAGCGACCCCTCCTTGGGTTTCCGAGGCAGTATCACTACGGAAGTAGGATTGCCCAACCTTCCTTCCGAGGAGTGGCTGGTGGGTTTGAACCGCCAGCCGTCTGGTTAGCAGGCAAGTGTCTTAGCCACTATGCTACCAGAGCTCCCACTAGCATTGGAAAATCTGCTCACGTGACTCAAGGACTTTGGTCAGACCTCAGCATACCTGGTATCTCCCTATGCAGACCAAGAGAGGTGAAAAATGGGGGTGGAAGAAAGAAGAGGGCAGACCCTCTAAGAATTTTTTTTCCCCAGACTCTTCTGGGTCAGTTGCCTGCATTTTATCTTGCTTTGAGTTGAAAAGGAGGGATGAAAGGGTGAGCATCCACCAAGTGTTGCTAGGGCTTCTCTTCCCATATGCCTCTGCTCCACCTGGCTCCAGAATCTTCCAATCCAAACAAGACATCTTCTCCATCCAGCACTCCTTCCTTCTCCCCCATCCCAGGGTTCATTTGCAGAACTGCAACTTCCTTGTAATGGAAGCTTAATAATATCATAATGGTGACCAAGGGACGGAAGACAAGGCAAATGAGAAGGGAGGAGGCCACATTACACTGGAGCAGTCCAGCTCAGCCCAGAGGGGAGGAGAACCTGGCTGGGGTGGAGGGGAAAGGCTCACCCCTTTTCCTCACCTCCAGCCCCAGGGAATGTTTCATTCGCTAAATGAAGTCAATGCGGCCAAGATGTTGGGCAGCTGCCTCTGGGAGCAGTTCCCATGCAGATGAGCACAAGGGCCAAAGCAATGTGTTGAGCTGGCCTCTGCTGTTCTGTCAATCCTCCTGTCAAGGGATAAATACAGCCTCCCAGCTCCCATACCCCTTCCTACCCAGCCCCCCAACCCTCAGCCTACCAGGGAGGTTGTTTTTTAGGAAACTCAGTGGGTCAGGAAGAGAAGCAGAGAGAATGAGGGGCAGGTGGGAATGGTCATAAAACCTGCAGAGAAGGCAGGGGCCTGATGTCATGACAGAAAGGTCCCTCAGGTAGCTAAGAACCAGCCAGGCCAGGAGCTCAGGTAACTACCTGTGGGGGGGGTCAGGCCAGTGACTCAGCTACAGACTCTGTAATCACTGGGAACCTCTCCAGCCACATTCACCCACCAGCTCTTGCCAGCTCCAAATTCCCATCCCAGCCACAAACATAGCCATTCCTTCAGACACGCATTCCCTGGGGCCCCAGACACAACAAACCCTCTGCCTAGACACAGCTAACCCTTTCCTGTCACTCTCCCACACCAGCTGCTGTCAAATAGATGCTGCTTCATGGCGACCCCATGTGTGTCAGAGTAGAACTGTGCTCTGTGGGGTTGTCAATGGCTGTTTTCTTCAGACATAGAAAGCCAGACCTTTCTTCCAAGAGGCCTCTGTGTGGACTCAAATCTCCAACCTTTCGGTTAGCAGCTGAGAGTGTTGTTTGCTGCACCTGTTAACCGTTTGCTGGACCCAGGGACTTTGTCACCCTCTCATCCTTACCAAATAGGCCCAGCTCCTTCCTTCATTGACACCTAGAAGGAAGGAAGGAAGGAGAAAAAGAGAAAGACAAGAAAAACAATAAAGCTAGGGGGCAGGTGGGGGGAGTCCAATCACCAGAGAGGAATCGAGAAAAGTTCTTCTAACACTTCCACACAAGTAGAAGATTCGTCTTCATTTGCCTGTTTTAAATTCTGAGATGTCTGTAAGCCAGTACCCCCTCCGTACCTATACCTCACTCCTGCCTCTCCTTTTGAGAGTTGAGGCCTTGCTTGTCTGGAATATTCCACCCCAACAAAGAGCAAGTAAAGTGTGGTAAGACTGTGGCGATGGCCATAGTGAGGCCAGGAGGCCCAACTGAATTGGCTGGGGCTGGGGTGACATGGTAGACTCTGAATGACATTATCAGCAACACCCCCAGGATAGCTCACTGTGCCATCCATCAGTGGGAAGGCTTCACTCGTTTTGTTCAGAAAGGACAAGGGGCTTGTGCATTTAGGAGGAAGAGGATATCTCCACGGCTCTATTCTTACACAAAAGTAAATAGTAAGTCTGAGAAAGAACAAGAGCCACTTGTTTGCTCCTTACCTCATCTGAGCACCAGGCACACATGGGACTCACAGCCAGACACTGTTGGCAGGAGCTCACACCTCGGGTGGTACAGACGTTCGGCCCTATAACAGAGGAACAAGAGCAACAGCGCCTGATTCAGCTTACACCTCAGAAGTTAACTGTCCTGCCCCATCCTTTCCCAACTTGCCCAAATGTCCAGATTTGGGCTTTCAGATACATAGGCTGTTTGGTAGAAATAAATGAGAATGAGGAAACTCAGGAGAAGAGAATGCATCATCAGTTGATGAGGCCACAGTGATGCCAAAGTGATGAGCAAGGCTGACCACGGACCCAAAGGGTCAGATCCAAACTGATGGACAGGGCTTTAACCAACAGCTGGTTCACCCCATACATTGCGCAAATGAAAATCTGAGGCCCAAAGAGATGGCAACTTGTCCTCTCTTCAATTATTCTATTGACATACATTCACAGCCATTGCACAGGGGTCCAAGGCCCAGATGCACTAACATTAACAGAGCCTACATCCAGCAGATGGGAAGGGGGCTATGGTGGCAAGGTCAGGCCAACCTGCAAATCTGAAATCTTCTCAAGCTTTCATCCCTTCCCAATCCACATATTTCGGGATCCAGATGTAGAATGCTCCAGGAGAAGCATAGAAATCCTAGAAAAGGCTGATTGCTATTTGCTGGGAAAACATGGAATTTTTTAGTTAGAAAGCCTGTGTTTGAATTCTGAATCACCTTCTTCTAGTTGTGTCATGACCTTGGGCAAGTCACTTAACCTCCATGAAATAATAATATCTATCTAGCAGTATCTGTGCAAGAATTCAGGGAGGTAAGGGAGAAGCACTTGGTAAACTACAAAATGCCATTCAAATGAGAACAGTTTTCATACTATAAAGGTCACGGAAAAAGCTGGGAGGCAGGGGATGGGGAGGAGGAGCAGTGATAACCATAGGGACCAAAACAGCCTCAAGAAGGCCAGCCTGGAAGCAAAAGCCAGTTTGCTTCCCTCTGCTCAGCATTCCTGGCCTGAGCCAGGCGAATCTCCTCTCTCTATACATATTGCTCCTCACTAAGTGTCTTCCGGGAGCTCTGGTGGCATAGTACCTAAAGCATTTAACTGCTAACCAGAAGGCTGGCGGTTCAAACCCACCAGCCACTCCTGGGAAGGAAGATTGGGCAGTCTGTAGAGATACTGCCTCAGAAACCCAAGGAGAGGTTGCTATGAGTCGGAAATGACTTGATACTCGATCTCTTCCAATCTGTAATTACTGTTACTCCCCCTGGACTTGATCATGACTCATGGTGATCCCATATATGCAGAGCAGCTGCTCTTTAGGGTTTTCAAGGCCATGACCTTTCAGAAGCAGATCACCAGGTTTGTCTTCTGATTCCCAATATAAGGAGTAGGAATAAAGAAGACACGATGCTCCCCAAAAAGGAGCCCTGGCGGCACAGTTGTTAAAGAGCTCCACTGCTAACCAAAAAGTTGGCAATCCAAACCTGCTATCAACTCTGTGAGAGAAAGATGAGGCAGTCTTCTTCCATAAAGATTTACAGCCTTGGAAACCCTATGGGACAGTTCAACTCTGTCCCAAAGGGGCCCTATGAGTCAGATCAACTCAGTGGCAGTAGGCAGAGAAGAGTAAAGGTTCACTTGTAGAAAAGTAATAACAGTGGAAGTGATTCTTGAGGACAATGCATGGAATCCTCATCCAACAGTATTACAAATGATTTCTGTCTGGTAGAAAAGGTAGCCCCCAAAGTTCAAGTTTATTGCCTTAGATAAACCAAATCTGAATCTATTAGCAAATTCACTTCAGCATTCCTCTGGCTGACCAACTACAAATCTCCCCTCCTTAAAAGAACTCTCTTTTAAACTAGTCTTAACATCTTACTGATTCCCTCACTAACTAATGAGTTGAATAAAAGCTTTATCGTGTGTTCATTTTATATTCATATGGGACTGATGCTTTTAACTCACACTTGCACAGTGTCTATTTCAGGGCCTCAAGGACAAGGGAATGGCAGCGGGATCTAACAGCATACTCACACAATCAGTACATTGTGGTCCTCGTGGAGCCACACACCAATAATGCGGCCTTGGGTGAATCATAAGAGCCCTGGTGGCATTTGGCTGCTGACCTAAAAGGTCAGTGGTCTGAACCCACCAGTCACTCTGCAGAAGAAAGATGTGGGAATCTGCTCCCATAAAGATTACAGCCTAGAAAACCCTATCAGGCAATTCTACTCTGCCTGATGGGGTCGCTATGAGTCTTGATGGCAAGGGGATTTGGTTTGGGTCTGGGTGAGTCATTTAACTTTTCCTCACCTTCAGTTTCTTCAACTCTAATATTCCTGTTGTTGTTGTTATTTGCCGTCGAGTCGGCCCCGACTCATAGCGACCCCTCCTTAGGTTTCCGAGGCAGTTATCACTATGGAAGTAGGATTGCCCAACCTTCCTTCCGAGGAGTGGCTGGTGGGTTTGAACCGCCAGCCTCCTGGTTAGCAGTCAAGTGCCTTAGGCACTATGCTACCAGAGCTCCCCTAATATTCCTACAATATTATAATTATTTATGTAGCTGCCTTAACACCACCACCACCCAATAGATTTTAGGCTCCTTGAGGTAAGCCCTGCCAGTCCAGCCCCAGTCCTGCTCAAAGGAGATACTCAACATCTAAATGAATTGAATCAAAATGAAAGGTGTTGAACTAGGTCAGTTTTGTTTTTCAAGCAACTGAGTTCATTTCTCAAAATGGTGCATAGAATTCCAATATAAAACATGTAAATAGATCATTCTACAAATTAAAATTTCATTGTTCTCCAATAAAAACACTAGACTCCAGGTGGAATCCTTGAAGCACCTCTGGAAACCCCCCTGTTGGGTCTGTCTGACTTCAAAGGCCTTCCCCAACTCTAAATTTCTTCAAATGGCATTCCATGATAAACTCATGAGTAACAACCGGACTCCACCCTGTGATGTGACTACAATCTTAAAATGGGAGGGGTACAAGGTGGGAGGGAGCTCTGATAGCATAGTGGCTAAAGCACTTGGCTGCTAACCAGAAGGCTGGTGGTTCAAACCCACCAGCCACTCCTCGGAAGGAAAGTTGGGCAATCCTACTTCCATAGTGATACTGCCTTAGAAACCCAAGGAGGGGTCGCTATGACTCGGGGCCGACTCGAGGGCACATAACAACAACAACAGGGTGGGAGTTATGGTGGTGGTTCCACACCTGGTCCCAAAGCATGAAGGCCACCTCTTGAGTTGGGACAGTCCTCAGCTGTCTAATGGCTGTAATGGAAAGATAGCCAGTCTTCCTAGAGCTGCCAGATTCTGAATACCTGAATGTTCAGAAACAATAATGCAACCAGGAGCCCTCTCTTGGCAGGGGCTGCCTAGCCATCTTTTGGCCTCACGATCGTTCACTCTCCATCCAGATCTGAGGATAACCTGTTGCTATGGAGTCAATTCTGATTCATGGTGACCCCATGTGCTACAGAGCAGAACTGCTTCATAGGGTTTTCTTGGCTATAATCGTTACTGTGGCAGATTGACAGCCTTTCCTCCACAGTACCACTGTGAGGGTTTGAACCACCAACCTTTCAATTAGTAGTCAAGCACATACCACTCGCACCACTGCTTCCCTTTATGACCTTATCAGAAGAGTTCTGAACTATTTTAGATGGCTGCTTCCCTTTTGTAGTTTCCACGGTTATTGGCATGGGGTGGGGAAGAAATCTGGCCATGGAGCCCATCAATTTTCACAAGGGAGAGGGGCAAAATAAGGAGACCACAGGAAGAGTTAGAAGAGAGAAGAGGACCATGGGAGGTTCAAATTATTTTAGAAAAATTTTCCCAGTCTATCCTTTTACCCATCCATTCATTCTCAAATTAGCATTTTCCTATGAGTCCCTGACTTGTAACCACAATAGAAAGCCTTGCCAGATGTGAAATAAATAATAGCAGGCCCCCTTCCAGTAAACGAGCAGTCCCTGACCCCAGAGGATCATCTGAGCTGCTGGGATTTGTTTTATAGGAAGTCATGCTCTGGGAGCCATGGTTACTCAGTTCCCCTTACCCTATCTTTTTAATGAATCACAGGTTGATGTTGTGAAAACCAATGATCCTCTAGGATCCCCCCTACCAAGTCCTGCAACCAAAGGCAGGCTCCTTGGAATGCAGAGGCTGAAAGCAACTGACTCATCAGCTGTCCCAGTGCCTGGGGCCACACTAATTCAATGAGTTGCTGCTCCAAGGTTGCCCCTCTCCCTAGAACATCTGGAAAGCATTTGAGCCTTTGTTTGCAACCATTCATAATGCCTGCTCAGCCTCAGAAGCCCAGACTCAGCCCTACCAGAAAAGAGGGGATGATCTTTACCAGTTTCATTGATATGAACAAACACCTACTGCCCCATTCCTCTCACAGTTTAGCCAGAGCAAAGGCACCAGGTAGGCTGGCCCTGGTCTGCTACCTCATAGAAGGGTTGTAAGGGCAGAAGAAACTAGTATCCATAAAAGAAACACTCGTGGTATTCACTGAAAGGCTGGCAGTATGAACCCACCCAGGAGCTCTTCAGGAAAAAGACGACATTCAACAACAACCTCTAAAACCACAGTGGCTGGCAAACAGGAAGGGCTTAATAAATGTTGCTGCTACAGTTATTGTTGCTGTCATTATCTTGAGTCTCAAGGTGGTTTAGGCACTATTCTACAGGACACTATAAACACAGCTAAGTATGCCTCGAACAAGGAAATGGTGGGGGGTAGAGGCAGAAAGCATCAGGCTAGGACAAAAAGGTCAAATGTCAGATCTGGCTTCTAAAAGGAGTTAGGAACATTAGCATTCAAAAGTCCAAGCTTGTAAGGATGTCCAAAAAGAGAAGACCAACTAGAAGGGATAGACAAGACTAGCCAAGCAGTTTGCCTGAAAGTAGAAGTAGAGGCTGTGGTTTGGTACTTCAATCTGACACGCAAAGTAGAAGAGAAACAAAGGGTGGGGGGAAATGGAGAAAAAAGGGGAAAAGGAAGCGAGTTCGAATTGGTGGAAGTCATAATGCGTCAATGAGAGCTGTTTTGAGGGTGTGATGTCCAACA